AAAATGAGACTATACATTACTGTGCCTCAGAAAGTAGGGAATGAATTATCTTTTCTCTTGGTGCAACGAGGCCCCACAAATCCTAATCCCACTTGATGTTCTTTCCTACACCCAAACTGGCAGAGTTCTGCCTGTGCATAATCGTATGCTGCTGGGGGGAAAAGGAGACCCCCTTATGAGAAGCTGTCCAGGTACAGAAACCGGATATGAGAGCAGCTTCCATCTCCTAATGTCTGCTAGGAGGCTAAGCAGGATGTGAATGCCATTCAAAGGGCAAAGTTTATGCCATCTCTCTCCCTATGTAGGAGAAGTTACATGCCTCATTTTCCCTCTAACTTTCACAAAGTTCTAGAAGGGGAAAAAAAAATCTGACATTTAGGACTTTAGACACTTGGCTTGGATATTTTCTCCAGAGTTAAACTGATGGCAGTTGGAAAAAATAAATGTATCAAGAGGCATCAGGCATACACAATTATTTTCACAACCCAAACTAAATAAATGTCTTAGTGGGCAAAGAAAATGTCAAATGTTTGTCAAAAAATAATCCTGTTCAGAAATTTGCCATGAAAAGCTTGAGATGAAACGAAAAACGGTTAAAGATACTTGAACTGATTCGTTGCTGATGCAACAGTTCTTGCTAGATGTATTTCACTCATGAATGATAAACCATTTTTGGTGGAAACAGTCTATTCCTAGAATCCAGACAATGCTTCATGACTGTGTTTAATTAACTCACATTTCACCTCACAAACAACGTAATGGGATTCTAAATAATTCCTTTATGCCTTTTTCCCATTATGTATAAAACTCACTCGAAATTTGAACTAAGATTTCATTACTGGATAATTTTGCTGTGCGGTATTTTCTTAATCACAGTCTTTTCAAACCTTTATATTTTAGTTAAATATGCATAGGTTTTGTTTCATTAAACAAAAATAGAAGTGATTATTTCACTACAGACTTCATTTCAGGTGATTATCTTTAATTTGATGAAAGGCAATATTTATAAAGTTGCCATTCTTTGTGCACAGGTAATTCAGTGGTAATAAGTGTCAGGGAATCTCATCTCCTTGGAAGCGACGCATATGATTATTCATTTGTTCATTCAACAGATTTTATTTATTGGGTGACTACTGTGTGCAAGGCATGATGCTATGTGTGCAGAGACCACAAACTGTAGTTTGGATTAAATACTTGAAATTATACGAAGTGATATTTATCTGCACATGTGAAGCAGAGCCTCCAACTATAAACTGCCCACATTTTGTTTTCTAGGCTTTGTTAAACATGTGCCTTTTCTCTTCTTTAAAAAAAAAAAAAAAAAAGTCAATTTGGCTCTTTGGGCACCTAATTTAAAATCTCCATTGGTGGTCCTGTGACTCTGTGACTGCTGAAGCTTGAGATGGGATGCACAACCCAATATTCCTATAAGCCCACCCATGCCCCCTCCCTGCCCAAATGTGTCTCCTTCTTAAATCCACCAGAAAGCAGTGGCTCTGTTCAGAGCCTGGCTTGCTTTGTAGGTCGTGAAAACTGCGGGATGGGATGTCAGATCCACTGGGGCTAAGAGCTGAAGCCAACCAACATCCTGGAAACAAAAAGACTTGCCTGTCTGGTGATCTAAAGCCAAGAAGTATACAGCTGAGAGAGATCCTGCACATTATGTGGTTCTGTATCCTTTTTTTTTAGATGATGAAATGAGACTCAGGGAGGTAGAGGATCTGCATACAGAAGTCTGTGGTAACTAGTAGCTTAAATCTAAACATAGCTTTGTATCAACGACTGGATCAGACTCACAGACCCCATACCTAAATAATTCTTATCACGCATTAGGTCCAAACAGGCTGGGGGAGGGGGCTGAGAATCGGTGTTAATTATTGGTACCATACCAGCTGTCCTGCCCACTAGGCGTAACAAATACCATGATATGTCTGGGAATTTGAGCCCATTAAGTACTAGGCTGTGTACAAATCTGATGATGGAAACTACTGAAATAAGAAAATACTAGAATTCCGTCTATCACCACCTTCCCTATAGTTTCGAGTGTGCAATCCTCAGTACAAAACACGGTGAGGTCCCGGTTCTGCTACCCTTGGCGAGGCTCCAGGAAGAGCCTGACTCTCCAGGGAGAAACAAAATCTGCATATCTTACGGCAGCCCTAGGAGCATCTGGCACCAACCGTGAGAGGCGCTCGAGCGAGACTTCTCACTTGCCTTTGTGCCGGCACTGCCTCCGGCGGCCCTGTCAGTCAAGGTCTCTTCCTTGTGCTCTCTAATCCCCTGCGTCCCTTGGGGGGCTCCAGAGGTTAAAGTCGAGGGCTGTGGGAAGCTCGCACAGCCCAGAAGCACCTCCACGAGGCCACTCCCAACTGAGCGCTGGTTCACCTCGCGGGCCTCCCCGCCCGACAGCAAAGCCTGCGTGCTGGCACTCGCGTGCTTCTCGTCCCTAGTTTCACCCGGGACTTGGCCCGGTTCACCCGCGGCAGCCCAGCTCCCTGCTAAACTCCCAGGCCTAAGCTCAGGGGCCTTCACCCGGCCTTCCCACTGGCTCGTCCTCCTCCTCCAGAGGCTACGCCCTTCCTGGGAACTGCACTCCGCCGCCAGGCACCGCAGGCTGGGGCGGCGGGTGCCTGGCTTCCAGCCGGAGGTTCCCGGGGATGCTCCCGCCCCCACCGCGCCTGGCCCAGCCCGAACCCCTAACGGCCGCGCGGGGAAGCCTTCCCCTCCGCGCTGTAACCGGCCCTCCCTACCATCGCGCGCCAGGCTGGTGGGTGGGCGCGTGGGAAGGCGATAACCCGGCCTTGAACCCCAGACCCTTGAAAATAATTCACCATGCCAATAATTCAACTGGACGGGAAGGTCAAAGGCGAATAGGACGGCCCGCCTTGTAGACTGGAGGAGGGTGATGCAATGGGTCAGGAGGGAATGGCGTGGGCCGGGGGACACCAAGTGATCACGGGGGCGGGGGAGGCTCGGATCTGCCGCTCGGCACAGAGGCGGCGCGGGCGGCCGGCCTGCAGCTCGCAGAGGAGGCCCGGCGACCGCCCGCCGGGTGCTGCCCGCGCAGCCAGCGCATTCCAGGCAGTAGGCGTCACGAGCGCCGCGGCTGCTTGCGCTCACTTTACTCTCTTCCCAAGCGCGGAATCCGCCCGTAACTGCGTTGCTTTGGGGATTTTCTCCCACCTCCCACCACCCTCTCCGCGCTCCTCGCCTACCCACCAAGCAGCAGGTTAGATCCTGGAGGGGCGCGCTCGCATCCGAGAGCCAGTTGATTCCAAGGGGGCACACGCATGCCCCCGACATTTGGCCTTCCCGGCCGCCCCGAGACAACTCGGGCACAGCTCCGCGGCCACCCGGCTACAAGCATTTTCTACCACTGGGTCACCCCTCGGGCAAAGAGCGCCCTTCTCTTCCCACAGCTTTCCCCCCGACCCAATGTCGTTCCCCCACTCAGAAGGGACACAATTTTCACCCAGCAGGGAATCCCTCGTAAGAAGCAAAGTTAAAGGAGCGGCGCAGAGCGAGCGCTGGTGGCGCGCTGGCCCGTGCTGAGAGCGTGCCAGGCGCGGGGTCCCGCTACCCGCCGCGCACCCGTGAGCGGCTGGAAACCCGCCCGAGCGCCACGCGGGCCGATGACTCTCTTACCCGAAGTGTCCCACAGGCTCAACTCTATTCTTTGTGTGTCGATTTCAAAACTGGCCGTGTAATTCTCAAACACCGTAGGGACGTAATTCTGGACAAGATGGACAGGGGAAAAAATGAGGGCAAAGAGGTTATATTAAGATGCACGACATCCGCAGAACACCCTCTGATAATCGCCTCCCCACTCTCCAAGTGAAAAACGAAACCCCAAAACCCGCATCCACCAGATCTCACACTGAACACGCGGACCCTTTCCGAAACCTCTAACTTCCCTCTCGCCCCACCCGGATCCCCCAAGACCCGAGGATCCAAATCTCCCAACCCCAGATTCTGCACACAGGACCGAACAAGTTTCAGAAGCTAGCAGCAGAACGTGCAGGCGCATCCCAGCCCCTCAACGCTTCCAGCCCACTTTCCCTTTCCGGGCAGTCTAACCAGGGGGAAAGTAGTAAACGGTGAGAAAGACGGCCGAAAAAAAGAAAAACGGGTGGAGGGGGGAAAGTCAGGGGACACCCACCTCGACGCGGGGATCCCCCGGGCCGCCCCCCTCCTCGCAGCCCCGAAGGGCCACACTCACCTCGGGGAAGCAGTCTTTGGCGAAGACGTGCAGCAGCGCGGTTTTCCCACACTGACTGTCTCCCACCACTACTATCTTGCATTTCACGTTCTGATTAGGATCCATGATAGATTTACTGGATAATTTCTGGCTGGCTCTTCTCTCCTTCATTGATCTTGCCTTATTTTCTCTCGAAACAGAAATCTTCACTTAAGAGGAAAAATATATATATATTTCTCTTTCTATAAAAAGCAGATATATAAAAATAAATCGCAAGGCTGGTGGGAACCCCTGAAGCGCCGCGCAGACGAGGAGCGCTAGAGGAGCAAGCTCGTTCCTCTCCTCCGACAAGTTTTATGCCTGACTCCACACGGCGCTTCCCAAGTCCAATTCCGATCCGACTGCTTTGTTTCACGCTCTCTGCGCGGCTTTATACGCCCGGCCTTCCAATCCTCTTTCTCAATGAGAGAAGGAAACTGATCCGCCTCCTCCCCTTTTATGGAGCCTGGGAGCGAGCGCCGTCTGGCTCCTCGCAGAACACGTAGACAATGCGCCCTCTAGGGTGACCATGCGGGATCGATTTCCACACCAAGGCTCTGCGACGACTTGAAGACCCCAACGACGCTTTGCTGAAAGATGGGACTGTACAAGTCAAGGAGGAGGTGGGAAACTGAATTGTCTGTGCATATTGATTTTTATCAGAATTTCTTGAAAAAAACGTTTTTATAGGGGCTGATCTACGGAAGCCTCAAGATGAACATTTATGAAAGCAAAAACATTTCCTGCCCAACACAGAAGGGTGGGGAAGGGTTAAGTGGCTGCATTTTCTTAGAAAGTGTTTTGTATCAGGTATATAGGCCATGGAACAATAGCTAAGCCGGGTTACTTCCGATGCCGGAACTGGCTTGCCTGGGTCACAGCAAGAGTGGCTTCTGAAACCAGTGAGTTCCAGTGACTCAGGAGGAGAGAGAAAGGTTTTGAGGAGAGGGAAGGGGAGGTGGGAGGGGAGAAGAAAGAAAAGTGGAAGATGCTCATAACTGAGTGACCAAAGCCACTGGAAACTCAATCCTACTGCACTAGGGACCTAAACACACAAGGTCAGCCATTGCCCCTGTCAGTGAGAAGAGGGGGTAGGAGGGATTCTGATCCTGCCGTTTAATTCCTTTATCTGTAGCTTCCCTTTCTCTGAAATCAAAGCACCCTAGGCTGGACCCAGAAAATAGAAACTTGCTTAGCTGAAAAATGCACGTACAACCCTTCACTCCCTCTCCACCTCACCTCCACATCTACCCCCTACCCACCCACCTGAAAGTCTCAGAGAGGACTAAAAATGGCCACACGTTTGTTCTCTCTACCCTATAAAAAAGTCCTTCTTTTCTCATCTTCATTTCCTGTGCTTCAAGTGATCAGGAGGTTTCACCTATTTTTAAAATTTTTATTGAGGTATAGTTGATTTACAGTATCATATGTTTCAGGTGTACAATATAGTAAATCACAATTTTTAAAGATTATACTCCATTTATAGTTACTATAAAATATTGGCTATATTCCCTGTGCTGTGCAATGTATCCTTGTAGCTTATTCATTTTATACATATAGGTTGTACCTCTTAATCCCCTACCCCTGTATTGCCCCTCACCACTACCCTCTCCCCACTGGTGACCATTAGTTCGTTCTCTATATCTGTGGGTCTGCTTCTTATGTTATATTCACTAGTTTGTTTTATTTTTTCGATTTCACATATAAGTGATATCACAGAGTATTTGTCTTTCTCTCTGACTTATTTCACTCAGCATAATGCCCTCCAAGTCCATCCATGTTGTTGCAAATGACAAAATTTGCAGAGGTTTCACTTATTAAATTGTATTAAGGACATTGGCCAAAAAAAAAAAAAAAAAAAAAAAATATAGGTTCCCCCATGGACACTTCTAGGTTTGTAAAAGAGAAGAAGATGAGGTGAAAAACCAGAAAGTTCAGTATATGGGGAATGAAAAGGCACAATGATAGATGGTTAAAAGCATACATGTAAGTATCAACCCTAGGACCATGAAGACTCAGGGATCTAAGGATGGTCTCTTCTTCCTTTCAGAGTAGAGAAAACTGGAGCCGCTCGAAGGAAAACTGACTCAGTGTGTAGGGCTGTGTTCATACATACACAGGGCTGACTCATAGAAAAGGGGATCGCTGGCCCTGCTCAGGTTACTAAAGCAGCACTGGCCAAAGTTTGCTCTGCAGAAAGTGTGCTCACAAAAAGCGTCCTGCATCCCAATTAGTGATTGAGACACTGTGCCCTTATCAACCCTTGAAAATGTGCCAAGCACTTTGACATATTACAAACAGTAAAAAGCTCTATAGAAAGGTAGCATACCTAACGTAGTTTAACCCAGCATTCCTCAAAAATACTTAAGCACAGGAAACTTTGATCTAATTATTTACTTGTTTGAGAAGCAATGGACATAGTGGTTGGGGGCAGGAAATCACAAAGAAGTGTATCCCTGTGACCTTGGATAAGTTACTTAACCTCTCTAAGCCTCAATTTCATCATCTGTAAAATGAGAGTCACAATAGTAATGATGAGGAAATGCAAGTGGAGTTTGCAGAATAGTTTCTGGCACATTAAAGAATCCTCCACCTACTTTATATTTCACACAGAACTCTTATTTTCACTTCTCAGAACTGTTGAACATATCTTGGGAAATTCTGGCCTCATTAGTGGACTCATTAATTGGAGCTAAGAGAATAGATCCACCCTTTTTTTTTTTCCTCAGAGTTTTAACTTAGGAAGTTGCTCCTTTCCGGAAATATGATTTGACCTTCCACATTCCTGAATTGATATAGTTTATGTGGTTAAGCTGCTCTAACTAGCAATAGTTATGAATTATTAGTATTTGGCTGACAATGAATAAGATGAGCATGTAATTTATCATATAAGCTGGGAGCAAAAGGGGGTACCACTAATGGTCAGAACAACAGTTGTAAACAGGGTCTGGCTCAGGCAAAATGAGAGACCTAATCACTTTAATGAATAATCTGGAATCATAGACTATTTTTGGAAATCAGGTGACCTGAATCTCCAGGAATCTGCCAGTTGCTGAGTGAAATTTTTAAATTTTTTAATTATATTTATTTAAATAAATTTATTTTATTTATTTAAATAAATTTATTTTATTTTTGGCTGCATTGGTTCTTTGTTGCTGTGCACAGGCTTTCTCTAATTGCGGCGAGTGGGGGCTACTCTTCGTTGTGGTGCGTGGGCTTCTCATTGCGGTGGCTTCTCTCGTTGTGGATCACCGGCTCTAGAGCGCAGGCTCAGTAGTTGTGGCGCACGGGCTTAGTTGCTCCTCAGCATGTGGGATCTTCCCGGACCAGGGATCGAACCCATGTCCCCTGCATGGGCAGGCAGAGTCTTAACTACTGCACCACCAGGGAAGTCCCTGCTGAGTGAAATTTAATGGCTGTGTAATAAGGTAGAAAACCAACTGCCTGAAGTCACCAGGCTTTGAATCCCTTTAGGGTAAGAATTATTTCCTTGTCTTCTTTGAGTCTCTACTACTCACTGTGTAGTAGATACTCAATATATTTAAAAAATTCATTTAGCATTTAGTTCAACAAATATTTATTAGGCACCTGCTATATTCCAGGCACTGTTCTAGAAACTGTAGATATAACAGTAAACAAGCCAGCCTGCTTGCTGCTCTCACAGAGTACATATGCCAGACAAGAGATAGACAATAAAGAAGTAAGCAAGTACACAAATAAGGATGAATGTGCCAAGTTCTATGAAGACAAAACAGGATGGCATGATGAAGCGTAGGAAGGTGGGGATTAGACCCAGGGGCCTGGCAAGGCCTCTCTAAGGAGGATGAGTCTTTAATGGTGAGAACAAATCAACCTTGAGAAGGTCCACTGGAAGGTAAGGGAACCGACAGTGAAAAAGTTATATGCAGAGAAGAACTCAGCAGGTGGAAGAAACAGAAGGAAAGCTGGAGTCAGTAGGCCCACTGAAGGAGGGGGAAAATAGATAGGAGAGCAGAAGAAAAAGGGCAGGAGCTAATAAATGGGCCTTGGAGATTGGTTCACAGAATTTGGATTTCATTCTAAGGGCAATATGTAGTCAGACACAGGAAGGCTTGAAGCAGGGTAATGACTTGATTATTTGAATGAATGGCTCCAATTCTAAGTTTGCAGCTGTCACTCCACTAACTATGACTTTGATGACACTGCTTATCTTCAATGAGATTTTCAGATCTAAATGATACCTAAAGTCCTAGAAAAGACGAAAATTTTAGATTGCAATGAAAGGTTTTCCCTAAGGAAAACATTCATTTGGAAGGAGTGCAGCCCCATCTAGGGAATCATACATTACCTAATGTCCCGTCTTTTGTCTTTTGTTATTCTTCTTGTTTCCTATTACTCTCTCCTTTCTCTAATTACCCCTAAGTTCAAGAGAAGAGAAAAAATAGCAAACATTTCCATATGGATTGGTTACTACTTCGTGTGCATTCAGCTTTCAGCTGCCCTAAGAAGTCTGAACTTAAGAATTCTTTCCTCTGTGGTTAACAACCCTCTACTTACTAGAGGGAAGCACCCCCTCCCATAGAAACTGCATCCTGTCTGACACAAAACAGGTTGATTCCAGGCCTGGAGAGAGGGCTAACTGAGACAGAATAGCCATCTAGGGATGGCACAGACCTGATAAACAACAACAGCTCTGTGTTCTTTCTATGAGCACTGGCCTACAAGTCAGGACATTGGCTTTTAGTCCCAGCTAAACTAAAGCACTGTCTGACCTTGGACAAACACTGACTGAATTCTTTTCCTTAGTTTCAACCTTACAAGACAATGATAATATCTGCTTCCTTTAAGTCCCACAATAAGGCTGCTTAGAAGATCACATGCCCTCTACTTTCTAACATTCTTCTTTAGGAACACACGTCAGGCATCCCCTCCCCCTCCCTTTTCAGGTTCAGTGTATTTAGGGAGGTCTGGGCTCACAGTGGAATATTTAAGGCATAATCCTACTTGTTTATTCATGCTTGCCTGCCTCTCCTCAGACGCCAGCAGAAGTGTTTGAAGGAGCAAGTGTGCCTTGAGGAGAAAGCCCTGGTCTCTTATAAGCATTGTCAACGGAGCAGAGATAACATTAAAAACAGAAAATGTGCATGATGCTTTCACAGACGTTATGTCAGAAAATATGGATATGAGTCACAGGCATCCTCTTTGAGAATTCAAGAGATGGTGCGTATGAAATAGCTTCAAATACGTGAAGTTCAATATAAAATAACAGCAGGAAATAAAGCAATAAAAAGAAATAAAATAAAATAACAGCAGGGTGTAAATTTGTGACCTGCTCTGTAGTGAAAGGTGCCACTTTCACAACTGTCCCTTTTTTGAGATGGTTAACTC